ATCGCGTCTGCAGCTGCACCGTGTGCGGGTACTGACGCGCTGCTGTGCAGAGCCTCCGCACCGCAGTTATTCCGGCGAGTGGCATTGCACGCATCGTGATCCAATCCCGCACCGGAACCCTAACTAGCCGAGCTCCTCCGACGCAGGCGCTGCCCGACCGTGTTGGTCATTACAAGAAACACGGGACACCCAAGCCAATGGTGTCTAAGGGTCTCTGGCACTCCTGGATGCATGCACGGTCACAACGGAGTAGCAATGTTCGAAAGTGTCCGAGCGGTCCCGAGCCGTCCCGAGCGGTCCCGAGGGACCCGAGGGACCCGAGCCGTCCCGAGCCGTCCCGAGCCGTCCCGAGCCGTCCCGAGCCGTCCCGAGCCGTCCCGAGCAGCGAGCTGTCCCAACGGCCTAGATGCTAAAGTTCGACCGGCGGGGGCGCGGCGCTTGGGCCAGCTTCCTGCAGGCGCGGATCAAGCCATGGGAGTATGGTCTTGGGGACAAGCAAGGCTTACGTCGGGCAGCGGCAGATCATCACAGAATGGAAGGGCCGGAACCTGTCCCTCGAGAAACAACGGTTCAACAAGACGGTGCAGCACTACCGTGGGCGTGTGGAGCACCTCATTGGCCAGGTAGTGGACAACCGTATGGCTCTGTGCACTACGTGGCGCGGCTCAATCACCCTGCTTGCCGCGGTCAACTCATGAAGATCGCGGCGCACATGGTTGGGCTCCAGGATCGTATGAAGGGACCTAGGTATGATGTGTTTGGCCCGTGGCCGGTGTGCCCGCCGCACATTGCGGCGCAGTTTCCTTAGTGCTTTGCTGTTATTTGCTAATCTCATGAATTGTTTACCATTTCTTCTCACACTGCAGCACCTCCGCGCCGCCCAGCCGTGCAGCCCAGCCAGCCGGAGGCGGGCCGCAAAAATGTCCCAGCCGCGCCCCCGAGCGAGGCCGAGCGGTCCCGAGCGGTCCCGAGCGGTCCCGAGGGTCCCGAGCGGTCCCGAGCCGTCCCGAGCGGTCCCGAGCCGTCCCGAGCGGTCCCGAGCGGTCCCGAGCGGTCCCGAGCGGTCCCAGAGCACCCCAGAGCACCCCAGAGCCTACCTGAGAGCCCACGGCCGCTTGGCAGGCACCTGCCTCGAGCCTGTTTCTTGTAATGACTAACATCCCGAGCCTGGCTGTTCTTCACCTTTCTACCTACCTACCTACCTAGGCAACTTGTGGCGGGGCCCCCGTCGGCACACGCCGAGGTGTTGCCTCGCCCAGCAGGAGGAGGGAGAGGGAGGCTGTCTAGTTATGAGGGCGGCACGCGGCAGGGGGCCGCCGACGCGATACGCGTACAAATTCCGCGGCAGCTGCCTAAAAAGAAAGAAAACACGCGGTGCAAGGGATGGATGGAGGACGGCAAGTCAATAAAAATATCTTTTCCTTTTTCCTGTGTCGAACCTGTGTCGAACCCTGGCGAGTAGAGACCACGCCTGCTATTCACAGCCGAATGAGAAAAATTCTTTTAACTTTTTAATTCTTTTCCCTGAGAGGCTTGTATCTTAAGAATTCTTTTCCCTTGCGAGGGAGCGTGTGAGAGCCGCTCTTCGCGCGCGACGGCTACAATCTGCAAAGTCTCCCAGCGAGAGCGATGCCTGCCAAGGGCACGCCCGCGTGGCACGCCGCGCAGAAGGCGCAGGCAGGCGGCAAGCCGCAGGTCGACAAGACGTTTGGCATGAAGAACAAGAAGGGCAAGGCCGTGCAGGCCAAGTTCCACACGCAGAACGGCGGAGCCGACAATGCGGCGCAAGAGAAGCGGCGCGCAGAGATGAAGAAGGCGGAGCAGGAAGCGATGAACGCGCTGCTGTTCCAGGCGCGCTCCGCAGCCCACCCCGGCCACAGGCGGCTGCGCGCGCCCGAGTGAGCGGGGATCGCCGGCCATCGGAGGGGCTGCTGTTGCAGTGCTCACGCATTGACGCAGCGCGGGGGCGGAGCGCCACGGGGACAGTCGGGGGTGGACACCGCGACAGAGAGGGACGGGGCCGTCGCCGGCCGTTCGGCTGTGCGTTGCGGCCGCCGCGAGGAGACCAGCTGTCAGCGGCCAGTGTCGCGCCGCCAGCCGAGGAGGAGAGAGGAGGAGAGGGGAGGGGAGGGGAGGGGAGGAGAGCTGCAGCGGCGGCGGGGACGGAAGACGCAGCAGAGTGAAGCAGCGGCGCAGCAAGAGAGAGACAGGGGGGTAGATCGCCGCCACCCATCAGCGCTGCGGCCGTCCCTGGCCCATCCCTCCCCACCCCTCCCCACCCCTGCCCCTGGCGCTGACCAGCCGCCCCGTCGCACCGCGGCGCGCGCAGGAGGCGAAGAAGAAGAACGAGAAGAACAAGGAGAAGGCGAAGAAGGAGGAGAAGAAGAAGGAGGAGGACAAGGCGCCGCCCGAGAGACGCTCGCGCGCAGCCGAGACGCGAGCACAAGGCAGCGGCGAGCCGCGAGGTCGTGTGTGGGTAGGAGCCGACGGAGATGCTTGCGCGGATCGAGTGGCTCAAGAAGCGAACGACGACCCGCACGCCCGTCACGCTCGACCGGCTAAAGGCGCGGATGCATGCATAGATGCATAGCTGGGGAGAGAGAGGCGAGGCAGCAGGTCGAGCCACGGCTAGACAGGCGAGCGCCTTCAAGAAGGCGAGGGCGGCAGAGGGCGAGGGCGGCGTGAGAGACGGGTCGCGCGGGAGCGGCACACAGACCAAGAGACACCTCACTCGGCCAGCTGGCACTGCCACGCCCCCGGAGCGTATCCTCTTGGGCGGTGGTGTCGTTGACCCTGCCGTCGCCCCCTGGACGCCGAGAGGAGCGACCTTCGGTGGAGCTCCCCACCACTCCCTCTTGATGTCGGCCGCGATCTCCCGCGATCTCCAGCGATCTCCCGCGATCTCCAGCGATCTCCCGCGATCTTCCCGGGATTTCCC